TTTAGTGTACTGTTTTTTTTGAGAATATTTTGTTTTTGGTGTATTTTGTTTTGTTTTTAGTGCATTTTGTTTTGTTTTTCGTGTATTTTATAAAAATAGATTGATCGTCTAAACAACAGTTTCGATGACCTATTAATTATTTCAATTACATCGATTAAAAATTGGAGAAAACAAATAAAAAAATCTTAGATAACCAATAAACGGATTCAGATCAACTTCTATAAATGGCCAGGCTTTTTATAAACTACAAGTATTCCCACGCGACTTCACCCGCGTAGAATTAAAAAGGAGAAAAAAATAAGTAGCCTATGTGTTCTTCTAGACTATCCTCTACATCTTTGCCAAATTTCATCGAGATCCGGTCAACAGTACGCTAAAAACTCAACAAACATCCATCCATCTAAACTCTCGCATTTATAACATTAGTATGAAGTAAGATTTTGTGTCTATTCGAACATCGCCATATTCGCGTTGATGGTTGCCGTTTTTTACGGCGAAATTTTCAAACAAATAACATCAAGTTTATCGGAACGAAACAACATTTTTTTAATTCTAAACAATCGCCTATCTATTTGTATCCATCTATGTAATAAGCATACAAACCCTACGATTAACATAACTGAATTGCGCATTTAGAAAGTGACGGGAGAAATTCCGGCCGCCTTTACTATACAAAATAGAATCACAGAAAGAAATTATAAACAAGCTTCAATTGTGACGGTTATAATGCGAAGGAAATATTATAAAACCAGCTTGTCACTGGATCTCAACCAGTATTGGTTATGCTGAGCCTCCCCATTTGCCATCTTTTACAAATTTTCGTATACATTTTTTTTTATTACTAGCTGTTGCCCGCGACTTCGTCCAAGCAATATTAAGATAAAAATGTAGCCAATGCCCGTCTATGTCACCTAGCCTTCATTGAAAGTCTGGTTAAAATCAGCCCAGCCGTTCCGGAGATAACGAAGACAGACAGAGAGAAACAGATTTTTTTTTATAATATTGTGCAGACAAAATCGCGGGCAACAGCTAGTTTAAAAGAAGACTTTAATAAATGTATACTTTATACTAGAAAATAGTAAGGATCCGCGTCACATGTCATACTAAACTGCCCGGCAGTGACTGAATACAGGGTTAGATAGCTCTGTTCGCTGAGAACACTCCCGGAGTTCACCAGTAATATAAAAGGTTTGCTGGGGTTCTTCTGCCAGCTGGGTTGGCTGGAGTAATCCATGTCATATTCTCACGCAAAATACGCGCTAGCTGTGGAGTTGCGGAAACCGTAGCCCATACTATTACTCTATAGTATTATTATAAAGAGAAAAGATTTGGACTTTAGTTATATTGAAATAACTTAAAAACAACTGTACAATTTCTAAAAATCTTTCAAAGAGTAACATAAGGTATTACATGTTTATATTATTTTTTTCATTTCATGCAGTCACAAGTAACAGCTAGTAAATAATCTTATTGGAACATATTTCTTGTATATATGTAAATGTACATATGTAAATCTAAGGTCATAAGTATGTCAACACATTTACATACAATTTGCATCACTATCTACTGTCATTGTACATATAAGTTTTACATACATGTGCTAAATAAGTTTATCTATGAAATATATTTTCGTAAGAACATGGCATGAAATAAAAGTTTTATTTTCCTCTTGCAACATAAATGACAAACACTTTCTTAATATCCTGTTGTCTATACTAATATTATAAAGAGGAAACATTTGTATTTTTGTATGTATTGAAATAACTCAAAAACTACTGGACCGATTTTTTTAAATTCTTACACCATTAAAAAGCTATGTTATCAGTAACATAGGCTATGTACTTTATTATTTTTTTAATATCATACAAGCAAGTTGCAAGCAACAGTCAGTTTGTTTAAAAGGAGTTCTTAGACTTACTTAAACTGAAGTATAATAGATGGCTTCTATGTTATCATATTTTTGAATCACATTTTTTTACATTAAACACAATGCTTTATTTATAGGTATAACAGTGGAAACTAAGAGTTATAAGGAATTTAGGCTGCTTTTACATCTATTTCTCTATTATAGGAAAGCTGGAGAAGGTAAAGTAAATATGATCAGTTTCTCAAACTCCTATCAAATGTAAACATGTAATATATCAATGGGAAAGCTTGCTGTGTTGATTCACATTGTCTTAGATGTCAACATCATTCAAACAATACTAATGTGGCAAGATTTGTGAAGACCTTGTCTGTTATTCTAGTGGGTACGAGAAATTATTATTTAAGATAATACTAAATTGTATAGAATATTGAATTGTTTAATTTTGAGTTATTGAACAATTTGGAGAAAAATTGTAAACGAGATTTAATAACAAATTACCCACAATGAGGTTTCAATTGCATTCTCTGAAAATTGTTACCTATAAACACCCGATAGTGTTACAATCTTGCATTGTCTCCTACACGATTTGATTTGTATTGATATATCAAATAAAATAAGTTTGAGTAAACAGGTTTTTAAATAAATAAAGTGTTTTTAAAAAGCTGTTACCCTTATTCCATACCTGTCAAGTAGCACGACCTTGTTGAACTTCCTACCAGGATACAATTTTTCATTTACACATATAATTTAGAACAACACTTCACGTTTTTATACAATGAGATAACTGTTAACTATAACTAAATTAAAAAACTAACGCTCAATTTAATAGAAAACAATACAGACCAAATCTCACACGCAACCTCTTTCCACGAAAATGACACATAAACAAATGTCATTTTCTGAATTGTTTGCAAATGTCAAAACGACATGTCAATTGTATTTCAAAGAGTATGGCATTTCAAAAGTCCAAAGAGTAAACAACCCATTTCCTTTAAAAAAAAATGTCATTTTTTGATTTTAATTCGAAGATATGAAGTAAATGTAATAAAACCTTGTAAATTGTAAAACGTATTTAATCTGAAATCTAAAAACATAACATTAAATAACAATCTCACTTTCATAACATATTCTAATCTCGAATCATTTAAGATGAGAAAAATTGCCAGCAATGTGTTTTACCTAAACAAATAACATTACACTTTGGAAGACTTTGTGCTTATTCATTTACGATAACCTAAGGTTTGAAATTTGGCGGCCTAGCACCAAAGATATTTGAGCCTACACGAACTGTCGTAGCTCCAACTTCAATCTGAAATTAAAAAAATAAAAGTGTAAATACATTTACAATCTAGTTTTGTATAAAATGGTTAAAATATAACAATACTTACAGCATGTTCAAAATCACTCGACATACCCATAGACAATTCTACATTTTTTATATCCAAATTCAGTTTGTTGCAGACTTCTTCTCGACATTTTGCCAATGTTATAAAATCTGGATTGGGGCCTTTTGATAAATCATAGTCATACTGTCCAATAGTCATTAGCCCTGTAAACTCGAGATTTGGACAATTCTTCAGGACATGCTCAACTAGTTGACATGTCTCTGGTGGTTCTATGCCATTTTTTACTGTAAATAAACAGAATGTCAGCCAGGATTATTTTACAAATGTTGTACTTATATAATACAGGACTAAGTTTGAATTGATAGATATGTACTATGAAAAGCTAGTATATTAAAATTAAATTACCTTCTTCACCACTAGTATTAATTTGCACCATAATCTTTAATTTTTCTTCCTCATTTCTATATTTCAACCATTGTTTATTTAAATTGTCTGCCAGCTTTTCAGAATCCACAGTTTCAACCATAAACAATCCCGGAGAGCCAAGTAGTTTATTTATTTTATTTGTTTGTAGGTGACCAATGAAATGCCATTTTATATCCTTGCAATTTTCCAATATTAATGGATCTTTAGCTTTATCTGCCAGTTCATTAACATAATTTTCTCCGAAATGTCTTTGCCCTGCTTCATAAGCTTGGACTATTAATGTAGCAGGTTTTATTTTTGATACTGCAACTAATCTTGGTATTACTTGTGGCAGATCCTGTAAGAACGAAAAAAGGTAACATATTAGAGGCTCTTAATACAAGTCAAGATTCATAAAAAGTGTAGTGTAGGTCAAAGAATAACATCCTGGCGCAAAAATCATCGCCAGTGGTTTGGAAAGAGCGCCCGTTTACTTTCCAGAGTGTTGAAGTCAAGAATGCAGGTTACCCTAATGATCGCTGAACTTTAAAAGGTGATGACACTTTAAGAAGAGACTATTTAGATTGATTCAAGTCAAACCCAGATTAGTTACTTTCACAATCATAATATTGTCATAAATATTATAAAGTCGATAGAAACTTTACAAACAATTTCAAGTGGGTATGTCGTAAATGGGTCATAGGTCTTGACCTTAGATCTTGATCTACTTTAATAGAAATGATGGTCGGCAGCCCCATTAGTAGCACAGCCACATTTTGCTTTTTTCGGCATAGGATGAAATTACGAATGTACTTACTTTACTTCTCCGGGCTACAGCAGACTCTATTTGAGCTAAAACAGTTTTTAATCCGTGCATAACGTCTACTTCTTTTTCACTCACTGTTGACATAATGTTTATATCGTTTTATAATAATAAAGATTTTTCGTTGAACTTCAACAATGTCGTTATTGACGTTTTTTATCAGTCGTTATCAATTGTCAATTCTAGAATTAAACGTCAGTGTCAATGCCAAACATTGTGCATTCGTTGCTATATTACTAAATTATAATTTTATATTTTATGAGAAAAATAGAAATGATTTTTTTCCACAAATTAATAAAAAAACATTATAAATAATGATATCCTATCAAAGTAAGTGCATCGAAAATTCAATAAATGCAGACCTCGAAGAATTCCAATGGATAGTGCAATTTTTGAACGAAAGTGTTAAATGTCAAGCTCAAGTCGATTGATTTTCCTTTCGTTTGTTTGTTGAGGTTTGGTAATTTTTGCGATGAAAATTGATGTTTTCTTAGTGAACGTTCGATAACAATGTTTTTACGAATTGCATCAATGTGAGATTGATAAAGCTAGTAATCATGAATGTCTTAGAGAAGGCAGAAAAGTCATTGGAATTTTTGAAAAGCGGTGAAGGAAGTGCGAAGTAAGCTTATTGATATAGATTCATATAACTAAGTTATTATGAAAATAAACGTGATTAACGAATTGTATACTATTGTTTATAGGAGCCATGAGCTGCAGGCTGCTGCTGGTACACTGGGTCGTTGTTTAGGAGCACTGGGAAGTCGTCCTAATTGTGCCAGACATTATGCAAATTATTTAAACTCTGCTGTACCTATTTTCTTGTCTTTGGCTAGCAATGATAGTGTAAGTATTGAATAATTTCCAACAGCACCTATGCAGGACAGTTTTATGAATTATCTATATTTAACTTAATTTTATCTTTCAGGCTGAAGTTCGTCTAGTAGGAGATGAGGCTTTGAACCGTGCAGTTGCTGGAGGATTTGCTTTCCATTCATATAAAGTAAACATTATACTACAAAATCAAATTGACCAGAATAAAAATGCAAGGTAAATATTATTATATTTGTCTACTGTTGTTTATGTCTATGCTGAATATGTTTTAAAAACAAGTTAACTAATTATTGGTTACATGAATGTCTAGTCTAGTCACAATAACTCAAAAAAGGTTAACTTTTGCTTAATGCATATGTGATCATAATGATCACAAATGATCTGCTCTATCACCTCCTAATGGAAATATGTTGAATTACCTATAACCCTGTTTAAGCAAAAGTTGAGATGGATGTATGTTTGTCTTGAAGAACATATAGGCCGCTAATTATTTTTTAAATTCTGCTTAGTCAGAGTCGCAGGCAAAAGATATGTAACTTAATAGAGGCTAACTTACTCATGATTTAATTTACTTGCACTTCAGGAGCAGATATCCTTGTCATTCAATATTTGTAGCAAATTTCATTAAAAACATAAAAAAATTGTCAATAAAAGGAATGGAAATATCTATAGTTAGCTGGTGTTATATAGAAAAATATAGCATATGTCACTTGGTAATAATGTAGCTTTTTAATTGTAAAATAATTTTTAAATTGGCTCAGTAGTTTTTTTAAATATTTCAATGCATATAAAAATGCAAAACTTTCTTATTTACAATATTTATGTACTTCTTTCCAGATGGATACGAGCAGCACTCTCTCGTATATGTCTTGGAGACTGTTGGTTACGTCCAGGTGTAGGGAAGATACGGAATCAAGCACAAACATTGTTCCCAAAGCTCAGCCAGATAGTGCAACATACAAATGAAATTCAACTTATCGTGGAGGCGTTAGAATCTAATTTGCCACGTATTTTAAAGGCTTTAGCTGAGTATACAACTGATGAGGAGATTTCAGGTTAGTTATACGTTTAAAATAATACCATACTTAATTAATTTTCAGTGTAGTTAAAACAATTGTTAGATATTTCTACAAATGACTTCCTATAAAATATAGACGGATAGCCATATTAACAATACTTGTAAATTACTTTAAAACACACAAACTGAACTCCAATGCGACAACGCAAATATATCGAACGTTCAGTTGTGACGACTAGTAATACACTGAGCTTGTTGGCGACTGAGCGCCGAGACTGCGACTAAGCGCGAGGCACTCCTTGCCATATATTTTATAAAACTACTCCCCCACTATTCCTTCCGTTTCCTAATATTTTCCTAACAATATTGTTGTTTTAAATAAAGATAAATGTGTTGATAAATAACACAGATTATCAAATAACTTTTAAGAATACAGAATACAATGTTCATTATGGACATATTCTATGCTAAGTAAAATCGCTTAGTTAAATATTGGGCAATTGTATACTACATGATGTTACCATAAAATTTCTTTACAGGTAACTCCATTCAGTTCCAATCTAAGTTAAAAAATTACTCTTTATAAAAATATAGGTTTTTTAATTCTACTGAACTTGCTTATCTAAAAACCGTCACTATTTACAATAAAAAATAAAACTCTTGATTAAGGGTTAATTAAAAATGGTGATCAATCATCTCACAGAGTGTAAATCAGGAAACTGACTTACAGATCTGGGATCTGCTGGAAAAATTCTTTCCACATTCACTCACTACCATAGGCTATATCTATACTAATATATAAGGAAAGATTTGTATTTTTGTATGTATTGAAATAACTCAAAAACTACTGTTCCGATTTTTAAAATTCTTTCACTGCTAGAAAGGTAATTTATCTGTGAGTAACATAGACTATATTTTTATAATTTCACGCGGGCGAATTCGTGATCAACTGTTTTTAATAGTTTTTTTAATTCTTTGCGGATGAAATCGCGTACAAGTTGACTGTAAAATATTTAATTCTCTTCCAGAGCTATCAAAAGCGTTACTATCTCATGTGGATTGTTTAGAAGCTTCTGTACGCAGAGGGATAGCGAATTGCGTTGCTCATCTCACTTCATACAGAGAACCTTTACTCACGAATGTATTAAATAAAGTGTTTGGTGAGTTATACTAATGTTATAAATGCGAACGTTTAGATTGATGGATGTTAGAGTTTGTAGCCTAAACTACTGAACATATCTCAATTAAGTAGTAATTTGACATAGAGAACATAGTCTTGAAGAATACATAGTGTTTATAAAAGTATTTCTTTAAAATCTGTGCAAATCTCTGTCTAAAGGTAAATATTACACAAATATTTGGAATCTCACTATGAAATACTGGTGTAGGAATTTCATTGCATTTATTCACTTTCTAATGTAAAAAAAAACTATAAGTTTTATATTTGTCTACAATATCATAAGATCATCACCTTTGACTAAAACATCGCACAACTGTTTAGTCACGTTTTGATTCCTATAAGCTTATGGAGGGACACACTACTCGATTTTTAGCTATGCAACATGCAAAATCTTATAACGGTTGTGAGGTAGTTTAGTTAAATGGGTGCCCACTCTAAGTGTATTTATATTCCTGGTCCGAATAATCAATACTCAAGTAATCTTTACTTACTGTATTTCATTCTTATATCTATAGTCATAAAATCTATCAACCTTACAAATAAACGCGCTATAAAGTTAAACGAAATATAAGCAAATATTAGTACAAATTTAGGTATATTAGGTATATTAGGTAATATTAGGTATTAGTACAAGGCTGTATGAATCAAGTATTATTAATATGTTTTTTTTTTTTTTGTATCATTTTTACAGAAAATCTTTGGCCGACTGCCACAAGTGATACAATGATTGTTGGATGGTTTTGTGTTGTCAAAGCAATGTTTCAAATCAATGATATGGACAAGTTCACTGATAATGATTTATTCGGTGTTCAGGATTATTTAGAGGTATGAACGAGAAGAAATATATTTGAACTAGCTGTTCCCATGCGACTTCATCCACATAAAATTATAAAAATTTCATTTTATTGTTCACATTTGTCAAATTATCAATTGCAAATGTCAAAATGACATGACGTGACAAACCTTGGAAATCTTGCTTTCTTGATGTTGGCAGCAACTTATAGTCTCTTTCCCACATTAGGGTTTTTATCCAAAATATTTACCCCCTAAGTTTAATGGCGTTCAAATATATAGCCTAAAGCATGAGGTAAATATAGGGCTTTTTATTAAAAAAGAATTATTCAAAAATATGCTGTAATTGCTGACGTCTTAGGCAACAAAGAAGTGTGTGTTCACGCTTTATTATAATAGTATAGTATAGTATTGGTTAAAAATATCAAAAACTCAGTTGGACTGTACAGTCAGCCACTTACAAAAATTTATTTTTAAAAGTTTACTTATACAAAACTTTAAAAACTGGTTTAAGTCTTTAGTTTTAATTATATGCAAATTTTTGTTAATGGTATTTAGTGTTTGGATGCAAATGGTATACATGTTTTTAAAAAATGAAGTTGTATACAGGATGTTTTTAAATGAACAGGGCACTAAACTCTAAATTCCTTAATCTGTACATCTATGATATAAGTGGCTTATAACGAAGTATTTAAATTAAATTCAGTATTTGGCCACTAATCTAAAAGAACAGAGAAGCTACTACAGGCCTGTCCCACCACTGGCTGATAGAAGCACAAATAGCTTAGAAGTGACGTTACTGTCAGATAGAGTACCGAAATCCGATATTTCCATCACATATTATATGAGATTGAGGTTTATTGAGCATTTTTATATTAAACTAGGTTTAATTGTTTTTGTACTGTTAAAAGAAAAATGACAAAGAAAACCTTTTGGGTTATCTGACCGTTTACAAGAATTGTGGGACAGGGCCTAAGTTTTATAATTTAACGCGGCGTTTGAGGTTAGTTTTGTAATATTTCCAGTTATATCATCTATGTATACATTATCTGGAACAAACAATGGAACATAATATACAGAATGCAGTTTTGGAATGTCTGTCTGTGTTGCTCGGTCAGGCTAGCGCTGAACAGAGGAAAGCCTTGTTAGAAAAACATCCAAGAATTGTGTGTTTAGATGACAGGAAAAGTGAAAAAGGACATAGAAGGAATATTAGTAAGTATTATTAGTTAATTTGAATTGTTTTTAAAGTACTAAATATCTAGAAATGTTAATAAATATATGATTATTATCTTTTTGACTTTATCCAACTTACATAACCATGTAATAAAAAAATATGGTAACAGTGGTAGAGCCCGCTTTAACATCTTCACACTGTAGGGCTCGCCCCCAGTAATACAACGACCAAACAGAAGACAGGCGTCAAGTGGGAGCAATTTCGCGTACAGTCTGATGAGTGTGGTGCCGGAGGCCCAATTTTAGTCCCTTTCCCTTTATCACCCTTTTCTAATAAGGAGAGAATGGGAAGAGGAAGTGGATTTGACGGTGGAGGAGACGCATAGGATGGGGAAATGTCCTCTTTATGTGCGTCTTTTCCTCCGTCAATGAAGGGTAAACAACGCATCTACAATAGGCAATGTGCATATCACGCCAAATTGTACCAAACTTTTTTTAAGTATACTTTATTACTATAAAAACATACCTGCAAATTTTTTAATATACTGTGATTTAGTGGCGAAATTTAATTATTAAAAAGTGTTTTTTAAAATCCCCCCTCTTAGTTCTAAAAACGCACGCTATTGGTCAAAGCAAGTGGCTTATCTAATATGGCGTCGTTGTGTTGACAATACACAGTTCATTTATGTTAGTTTATATAGAAATACACTCTTGAAGTATTCTACTGTAAACACAATATCAAAACTGACTATCTTAAAATAAACAATTAATGAATTACCACTTATTTGTACCAGGAATAATAAAAATCGATTTTTGACTTTTGATAACCGATACTGTTGTTTTTACATCGAAGTGACATCTGAGCGTATGTTATGAATGGAATATGACAATTGACGTCAATTGTCTTCAACAAAATATCTATAACGTGGTGTAGGTTCAGTGAGCGCGCTGTCGTGCGTGCGCGGCGCCAGCCCTCTGTCGGCGGGGGCGGTGGCGGTGCGCGGCGCGCTGCGGCTGGGCAGCCTGCTGCAGCTGCACTCGCCCGCGCGCAGCCTCGAGGATCTCACCATACAGGTATAACACATCTCACACGCATACAACTTCAACATATAATAGATTTTTGTATAATATAAGGTAGCAAACGAGCAAGCGGCCTGAATCCACCGAAATGGAAAGTGACCGCTGCCTATAAACATCCGCAATTGCAGTTGCCTACCCTTCATTGACAGAGACTCACATAAAGAGGACATTTCCCCTTTCTATGCGTCTCCTCCACTGTCAAATCCACTTTTCCTTCTCATCCTTTCCTCTAAAAAGGGTGGAAAGGGAAATAAAATGAGGCCTCCGGCACTGTACGCGGAATTGCTCCCACTTCACGCCTGTCTTCTGTGTGGTCGTGGTATTGCTGAAAGCGAGCCGGCCCTACAGTGCGAAGACGTGAAAGCGGGCTCTACATCTGTAGAGCCCGCTTTCGTTTTTTTAAATCAACGCAGACGGAGTCGCGAGCGAAAGCTAGTTCATTATATGTATAACAGACTTGGTATTTCTATTATTTAATAGTCTGTTTTTGTTTTTCTAGACGCCAGATTCACCAGCAAGTGATACGGAAATAAATTTACCCGACACAGAACAATTATCGAAGGATTTAGTTGAGAAATTGGAAGAAATGGATTTAACCGAACATTGTGATGATGATGTTAATATCTCACATGAAAGTTCTTTTAAGGTATTTTTTTTAATACTACTCTATATTAAGAAGAAAATTAGCACCACGCTGTGGAATTGGTGCATCACTAGATTATTGGCATTAACGTCACATCTCTAACTGACAGCTGTCAATGTCATTAGATAGATTGGCGCGCGATTATTCAAAATCATCGAAATAACGATGGGGTCCACTAGACATTAAAAGAAGAAGAAGACAAGAAGTGTTGCTCTGAGTTTTTTAAGTTATTACGATTGTATCAATTAAATAAAAATATGTAGCTTATGTAAGACTAGCTTTCGCCCGCGGCTCCGTCCGCGTGAAATAAAAAAAAAACAAAAGTGCCTATGTGTTCTTCCAGACTATCTACATCTATACCAAATATACAGATCCGTTCAGCCGTTTAGGCTACAAATTCTAACAAACATCCATCCATTTTCTTTCGCATTTATAATATTAGTATGATATAAAATTCATTATTACGTTATTTCAGATCAGTATCGGGTCATCAACTGACGATGAGGTAGTGCTGAAGTACTGCGCCAGATTGCTGGCCTCCAAGTTCCTACTGACTGGAAACAAGGGGGGGTTCATACCTGACAGGTGAGAAATGTATGAATTTGTATGATATACAATTTTTTTAATCTATACTATTATAATAAAGCGTAAACACACACTTCTTTGTTGCCTAAGATGTCAGCAATTATAGCATAATTTTGAATAATTCATTTTTAAATAAAAAATCCTACACTTACGTCACGCTTTAGGCTATATATTTTCACGCCATTAAACTTAGGGGGTAAATATTTTGGATAAAAACCCTAATGTGGGAAAGAGACCATAAGTTGCTGCCAACATCAAGGAAGCAAGGTTGCCATGCTTTGTCATCATGTCATGTCATTTTGACATTTGCAATTGATAATGTGACACATGTTAACAATAAAATAAAGTTTTTATTACCCCATGCGGATGAAGCCGCATGGGAACAGCTAGTCATATTATAAATGCGAGAATCTAGATGGATGTTTGTTAGAGTTTGTAGCCTAAACGGCTGAACCGATCTGGATAAAATTTGCCATATTTGTAGAGGATAGTCTGGAAGAACACATAGGATACTCACTATTGTTTATTTTTAATTCCACGCGGACGGAGTCGGGGACGAAAGCTAGTGTAATGCTTCGTCTGTATTAAACTATAAAAAAACTTTATTTTATTGTCTACATTACTGAAAATTTCAATTGCAAATGTCAAAATTCAAATGCACAAATGATTATAAAGATTTTGCTGTTGGATAATAATCACCGTTACCATGGCAACCTTGCTTCCTTGATGTCAACTTTGCTTCGTCTGTATTAAACTATAAAAAAACTTTATTTTATTGTCTACATTACTGAAACATTCAATTACAAATGTCAAAATTCAAATGCACAAATGATTATAAAGATTTTGCTGTTGGATAATAATCACCGTTACCATGGCAACCTTGCTTCCTTGATGTCAACTTCTAGTTTATGGTCCCTTTCCCACATGAGGGATTTTCCAATTTATTCACCCTTTAAGTTTAATAGCATAAAAATATGTAGCCTATAGCATATTGTAAGTGTAGGGCTTTAAATTAAAAAGAATTATTTATAAATATACTGTGATTTCTGACATCCTACATAACAAAGTGTGTGTTTATGAATTGTTATATTAGTTTAGGACTAGCTATTGCTCGCGACTTCGTGCGCGTGAAATTAATAAATAATAAAAATTATAGCCTATGTTACTCACAGATAAAAAACCTTTCTAACAATGAAAGATTTTTTAAAAACGGCCCTGTAGTTCTTACTTGAATCGAATACTTACAAAAATACAAATCTTTCCTCTTTATAGATAACGATTACTGCCTTTAAATATTATGTAACCGTAACTTTATTGGTATTTTTTTATTTCAGATCTGTCAGAGTGTCAGTGAAGGCGTCAGCTCTGACTTGTTTGTCAGAAATCCTGCGTCTCTTCCCGCAAGTTATGACGATGTATTTGGATAAGGATGTTGATAGTAAAATGCAGAATTATTCCGGTAAATTGAACTTTTCAAATACTTCAGACTTACATACAAACGCGGTTACTTACAAACTTAGGAATAAACTGAGTATAAGCAAATATTAGTACAAATTTAGTGCAAATTTAGTACAAATTTAGTACAAATATTAGTACAAATTTTGCTAATACTCACTTTATTTCTAAGTTTAACTTTATACCGCATTTATTTGTTAGGCTGTAAGATTTTTTTCTTTCTTAAATAAAATGCTTTGTTTAGGGCTGTCCAAATTAAATGGTACCCAGGCCAAAAATTATTAAATACTAGCTGTTCCCGTGCGGCTTCATCCGCATGAAATTATGAAAATTTTACTTTATTGATTAGTTACTTTTGTTAAATTATCATTAGCAAATGTCAAAATGACATGACATGACAAACCTTAGCAATCTTTCTTTTTTGATGTTGGCAGCAACTTATGGTCTCTTTCCCACATTAGGCTTTTTATCCAAAATATTTACCCCCTAAGTTTAATGGCGCGAAAATATATAGCCTAAAGCATGAAGTGTAGGGCTTTTAATAAAAAAAATAGTTATTCAAAAATATACTGTAATTGCTGACATCTTAGGCAACCAAGAAGTGTGTGTTTACACTTTATTATAATAGTATAGATTTGGGTCGCGAATTATTTATGAATATAAAATAGATGTATATAGAGCATTATATTTAATTATGTAATTTTAATTTATTTGTTTTTTACAATTATGTGCATTGTTTGTTTAAGTGAAGTATTTGTCAATGAAGTATATTTCGATTTTGTAACCTTCATTGTCGAGTATGTACTTTCACAACACATTTGAATTCAGTCGCAAGAAAATTAATTTGCTCATTAATTTATCGAAGAAGGAATTTTTGATTCTACGGGCCGCAATTTAAGCTTTTATGTATAAATCTCATCTTGTTTTGTAACCATGTATTTTAAATTCCGCAAGATAATCGTTAAAAGATGCTGCCTCCTGAAAAGTTATTACTAGCTCAGGAGACAGAGTCCCACTAACTGTGCTAAACTGTTTTAACAGTGGTAGTGTCCGCTTTAACATGTTAGCACTGCAGGGCCGGCACGCCCCCAGTAATACCACGACCACACAGAAGACAGGCGTCAAATGGAAGTAATTCCGTGTACAGTCTGACGAGTGTGGTGCCGGAGACCTAATTTAAGTCCCTTTGTCTTTACCACCCTTTTATTATAAGGAGAGGTTTGGAAGAGGAAGTGGATTTGACGGTGGAGGAGATGCATAGGAAGGGGAAATATCCTCTTTATGTGCGTCTCCTCCTTCGTCGTATAAGGGGAGGCAACGCATCTGCAATTGCGGATGTCTATGGGCAGCGGTCCCTTCGCCATTTTGGCGATTTCAGGTGGCCGCTTGCTCGTTTGCCACCTTATGTTATAAAAAAAAAATCAATGAAGAATTCTTATTCTTAAGCCAAGGATCATGGTTTAGCCCTGGCCTAGTTCTTTAGCAAGTAATTTACTACTAAAACGTATTGATTTTTTAACTGAAAATCACTTATGTATATTTTACGGAGGTTGATAGGTTTTCCTTTTGATTTATTTGTTTCGATGTTTATATTTTTACATTATTTTAAAATTACTTGCTTTAGAAAAAAGTTGTATGTTTTGAAGAGATTGTAAATATTATAAAAAGGAGGGAACAACTTTTTAATTTCACGGGACATCCGTACTTGTATGTCAAAGATAGTTTTTAACAAAATTTTAAAACTAAAATGAAGTATATAAAATAATTAGTTTTCGCCCGCGAGTCCGTCCGCGTTGAATTAAAAAAAAAACAAAAGTGAGTAGCCTATGTGTTCTCCCAGACTATGCTCTACGTCTATGTCAAATTTCATTAAGATCCTTTAGCCGTTTAGGCTACAAACTCGCAACAAACATCCATCCATCTAAACTTTCACATTTATAATATTAGTTAGATGTATTTAAATTTCCAATTATTTCAGGATCATCTGAAGGTGTTAATTTCTGTCAAGATAATATTAACGATTTTATACTAGAAAGAAACGTTTGCTATCAAGATTCAATAACGGAATCAACGAGTCAAGAATTATCACACAAGAGCACAGACAGTCAGACAAACACAACACAATTAACATCAAAGAAATCAACGGAAAAAGATAGTCCTGATAGAAAGAGTTTTAATACTCCATTGAATCTACAAGATATAAGACTTTTAGGCAAAATGGACCTTATTGCTAGTGGAATAAGTGCTGATAGTACTGCAAATATGTCTAATAGTAATTTTACTACAAATTCTAATATGACTGGAAGCAATGATCCAATATCTTCAGGATATCCGATGTCAAGTAGCGGAGATGTTTTATCTTCTAGTATAGATTTGGATATGAAATTCGATCATTTCGGTGAATCTAATACTATGGATAATCAAGAAGTAAGAGTAAAGAAGGATAAAATGATACAGAAGAGTGAAGAGAAGATCGATGATGTGGAGAAAGAGTTTGAAAATCAACATTTAAGTGATGTTTTTGTGTTAGAGTGTCACAGTGATCCACAGATTAGAGGTTTAGTGAGGGTTTGTGTTGGGAATTATTTGATATCGGTTTTGGATTTGTCTCATGGTGATTATAATAGATGGCGCTGTTATACTATTATGTCAAAAGATATCGCAGATTATCTAAGTATAGAGAAACTTATGGATATTATATTAAAGGTAAGTAACAAAGTATGGTTTAAATTACCCTACCAGCAAAGACTTATTTATATCTATGTATGCTTTTAACTAGCTTTCGCCCGCGACTGTTCGCGTGGAATAAAAAAAAACAAAAGTTTGTAGCCTAAAAGAAAATGCCACATTAAAAAAACATACAAACATAATAAACTAACAAAAACGGTTTTCTAAATAACTAGCTTTCGCCCGTAACTCCATCAGCATGGAATTAAAAAATCAAAAGCACTCTATGTGTTATTCCAGACTATCCTCTACATTTATGCCAAATTTCGTCGAGATCCGTTCAGCAGTTTAGGCTATAAATTGTAACAAACATCAATCTAGACTTTAGCATTTAATATTAGCAAAAATCCATTGTAACAGCCTACAGCCTAAAATACTAAACTGATTTTTACATATGAGGTGTCATTTGATTTGTCTTCTTCGCCGGAGTGTCATAGGACCATCAGTATAAAACAGCTATAGTAGACGTGAGAATTGAAATTCTGAAAAAAATAGTGAAATGACGGTATTCGAATCTCACTCGATGGCTTTTTTTAATTTTATTAATCTATTTTCGATGTTATGAACATATTCATCTATTAATCGGGATTTTTGTTTTTTTTTTAATTAACAGTAAGTTACTAGAAGATACTAAAAAGTTCAACTTTTTTACAGGGTCTCTCCGATGATATATATTCAACAGTAAACCATACATTGTCAGTATTAACCAGTTTATCTAGAGCCCTCTTCAATAGTGCCCATTGGACGTTGATGATTGAAGTGTTGAATTCTCTAGTAAATGTGGAGAATAATAATTACTGGTTGTGTAGAGTTAATTTGTGTAAAATGTATGAGAAATTGCCTTATCAAAAGTAAGTAAAACGTGATTTTATATATTAAATTACTTTGACTTTTAAGAGACAGGATCTGTCAAGCACAAACATTTCTCTCTGTTAAATATAAACAATGAGTTCTAATTTTATTATATGTAACTTAATTTTTGAATTATGCTTATGTTAAGTTATTGCAATTTTTTAACGTAAAGTGTTTACTTGGTAAATGAATTTGTCTTTTATATTGGCTCTTTGCTTAGTCCATTTTAAAATACTCAAAGTTAAATTTGATAATACAATATTTTTAACTGTTTTTTAAAGTTGTAGTGCCACATTATTCAAAATATATAACGAAATAATATTATTATTACAGATTCTTCATGTTATGTCCAGAGTATTATACAAGAAGTGAGCAAATTATGAACACGTTGTTCCGTCTTTTAGCCGATCAAGATCAGAAGGTCAGGAATGCAGCTTCACAAACTATTTCTATGTAAGAATTACTGTTACTAATACTTATTTATAAGGGAAGGATGGGAAGAGAACGATTTGACGGAGGAGGAGACGCATAGGAAGAGGAAATATACCATTTATGTGCGTCTCCGTCAAGAGTAGGCAATGCATCTGTAATTGCGGATGTTTAGGCAGCAGTCGCTTCGCCTTTTTGGCGGATTCATGTGGCTTGCTTCACTTTATGATATAAAAAGAAGATACTGGATTATACTAGATTTTTGATATAGCATTTGTAATAATAATAAAATGTGAATATAACTACTAGCCTTTGCTCGCGACTTTTCGCGGAATTAAATACTTCGACTATGTTATATATGAAAGGGGGAAGATTTATATTTTTTTATGTATTGATATAACTCAAATACTACTGGACCAATTACAAATTTTGTCACCGTTAAAAAACTAATTTATCCATCAGCTAGGATGTTTTTGACTATTTTTTTAATTTAACAAAAACGAAGTCGTAAGCATCAACTAGTCTGTGATAAAATTTACCAAAATCATTCTGTTGAGTGCAAAATACAACCTCTTTGGCTGACAAGCAGTATGTATACAGCCAAAGAGGTTGCATAATGGCCACCAAGGCAATAATCGTTTCGTAAAAGAAAATATATAAGAGAAGAAGTCAAGATGTAATCAAGAGAGTTTTAAGTTTGTATATTTTTTAGTGTAAATAAATTTTAAATAAAGATATGTTTGTTTTAAAATAAGTGTTTTGTATTTTTGGCTGCCGCGCTGTCGGTAACAAGTTAAACACATTCAACAAACAAATTTTGATTTATAATATCTCTGTAAATATTATAATAAGGCCAGTCTAATATTTTTATCGTATAATTTCAGTATAATACCAAAAATATACCCATCAAGGAAAGAGACGCCGATATCTATGATGATAGAGACAGCGAGAGAAGAAAGTGAAGTGTTCAATTTTGATAATAACAAGTGTGCGTTGGATTTAGTGAGGAATATATATTTTTATAATGATTTACCATCACAAGTGAGGGACGGTGATGTGATGAACTGTGATGCGCTGATGATGATAGTGGGTGATCTGGTGCAACGGCTGATGTCCTCGAACTGCAAGTTTTATTCGGTAAGTTTATTCTAAATAAATTGATAGCCAAAAAGTATATATAACTTATGCCCGCGACTCCGTCCACATGGAATAAATAAAACAAAAGTGAGTAGCCTATGTGTTCTTCTAGACTCTATATCTGTTACTGAAAATATATATAACGAGCTGTTGCCCGCGACTTCGTCCGCGTGGTATTAGAAAACATACGAACTATATAAATAACAAAAAGCTACGTATCCCTCGGGAACCGGACATTTCTCGGGGATGAAGCTTATCCCATGTGTACTCCAGACTTTGCTTTATATCTGTGCCAAATTTCAATAAGATATGTTGAACCGTTGCAGATTGATCGAGTAAACATTAAAAAAACTAAACTAATGAATCCCACGGGAACCGTAACTATTACCGGGATAAAAAGTAGCCTATGTGTTCTTCCAGACTATGCTCTAAACCTGTGCCAAATTTCTTGGAGATCCGTTCAGCCGTTTAGGCTACAAACGCTAGCAAACATCCATCCATCCATCCTTCCATCCATCCATCCTTCCATCCATCTATCCATCTAAACTTTCGCATTTATAATATTATAGTAAGATATATATACTGAAATTATATAGCCTATAGCAAATTATGTGTTAGTTTTTTTTATTAAAATAAGGTTAATACAAAAATATGCGTAAATTGACATCTTACTTCGTACTTCTTAGATGTTCCATATGTCATAGAATGTGTATGTTCCATACAAGAAGTTCAAAGTTTGTTAAAGTTTGTAGCCTTAACTATTGAACGGATCTCTGTGAAATTTGACATAGATATAGTCTTAAACACAGCCTATTTATTTTATAATTCTACACGGACGAAGTCACACAAGTTCTATATAAAGGGGTCTTTTTATTATATTAGTACATTTGTATATAGCAAGGTGTACTGGAAGCGCTGGTGGCGGTGTGCAAGCGCTGGTCGCCG